CTCAGTTTTTAAATACCAATTTTTGAGACTACAGTGTGATTAAAAGTAAATTGAGTTTTGTTCCAATTAAATTTGACCGATTGAAGTTAAGATAAGCAGAACCTCTATGTTAGAAATCAAGACGGTGTCATGATGGTGCTTCAAATTGCATTAAAACTTTTTCCCATTTTGTAGAGTCAAATGAAGCTCCTCTTTTAATTGGATAACTTGGTCTCGAGAGAGTTTCAAACCGTTCTTCTTTTTTTTAAAAAAATCCATTCATCATCCTCACCATATTCCCTATTTTTCCCTTCGAAATGCTTTTAAGTGAAGAAATGCCCCCCCCCTTATTCAGGACAATAAAAATGAATGAAACTTTGCCACTAATGTCCTAAAATTTTCATTTCCCCACATGTAACGTTTTCGAATTTCCCTCATGATTTTGTGTTAACTTGTTATCCATCAAAATGTAAATTGTTATACCAATATTAATTCATTGGTTATGTTAATGCAAGTATTTGTACTGTTGAAAGTATTTGAATAAATATTTCCTTTAAATAAACTTTGGTGTTTACAATTTATCTTTCAATACAATACTTGGGTGAAACATGGATAAAATTCATTAACCTCCTCCTACTTGCTTTCCATTTGCCATTTGCATTACATTGTCCTTAAAACCTGAACTCTAGGCAATATTTGGCATGATGTGTTTAGGTCAAATAAACTATTTACTGTTTTCTTAATAACAAAGTTGCTATCAGGACCCCCTTTGCACAGATAAGAGTTCAGTGGGACGCAAAAAAGGAATTCCATTTCCAAGGGCACGTTTATTGAATGGCAGATAATGCTCAAGTAGAAGAGAGAAAGTGACATTCATTCATACTTGGACCTTAAAAGGAGACGATACCTGTGTTAATTAACTCATTTATTAAAACAACTATAGTTAGGTTTGTGAAATCAGATGTGTACTTATTTGTTTAGTCACAGGGGATTATTTAACCATGTACTAATTGGACTTAACAACTATTGACCTTTTTGGCATTTGACTGCTTTTAATAACTAAATATCGTTAAGACCCAATGCTAATATTAACGGATTAAACTGTAAAAGCGGAGAGGACAATTAGTCAATTCAAGTTGCCTTTAATACTTGCAAATTAGTATTCCTCCTATTGTTCGCGCCATTACCATTTGCTCACGAATGTTTTGTCAATACAAACATTCCCAACAAATACTTATTTATATCAAATGAAATGCGTCTTGATGGTTATCATTAGCCATAGAGTGAGGTGATGATAGCTTGAAGTGAGAAGTCAACTGCCAGTTAATAGACTTTTTGCCGTATGAATATACGTTGCCCAGGGTGCACCACGTGGAGGTAAGTCTATCGCTCACCCCTTAACATCAAATACAGAAACTGTTTCGCTATTATGGATTTCTTTAGATATAGTGCATTCAAAATCTCAAAGGAATATACGTATGAATGCATGTTCTGAAGTTTCCACTTTCCTACATGTAACATTTTCGACTTTAAAAAAACCGTACTTTCCTAAATTGTTTCATCTATTTAATGCTTGTTACTCTGACTGTGCGCTTATAATTATCCTCTAGGAAAATCATGTGATTTGAATTGTAGAAAATGATCTACCTACTTTGTGAATGGAACACATTTTGAAGCCTTTTCTACCTTAACATTACTCTCAGCATCTCAATTTTATAAATTAGCCAAATTTCGTAAGCCAAATTCGTTTGTCGGTATTAAGATTTAAAGCAAATAAGCGAATATACAAACTTAATTCCTAAACTGTTTTACATCATAGTTTCTTTAATTTTTCTCCATTCAACACATGTTCTAACAAGATTTTGTTTAAACGTTTCATTTCCTGATGCTTCATCTTTACCATAAAGGGAATGTTAAATATAGTTAAATTCACTCAATTTCAGATGACATTTGTCAGTAATATGACAGATATCGTTGACGAGTCTGAAAGGCTTCGCAACTAGCAACGATGACAGATGGGATATTTCTTCAATTAACCAAGTAAGGTCCAAACCTTATTTCAATTTACGATTAGTTATAACTAATGAGTAAGAACAAACGTTGCATAGGAGGAGAAAGTGGAATGCACTATATAGTCAGAATAAAGGGACATGACAACAAACCCGTTATTATGTTGTTAACCTGGGGTGTGCTATAGACTAACCTCCACTTCTGATTTCAAACAACCATGTCATATTCCATCACATCCACAGAACTCACCTCACCTTATCTTTTTCTCGGCCTTTGTGCCAGTCTGATTCCCTTACATCTGCAAATCACTCTTCTGCTTCCCCCCCCCCTTCGACTTTTAGTGAAACCAGAAGTCATCATAATAACAATGATGATATAGTTATTAAAATAAGTCTTTCAGTACCTTATCAAGTCAATTAATTGGCACAATTCAATTGGGAAGGGCCAATTTTAAACCCTCATTACGATGTCTTACCCCAAAGATGCCATTGGGAGGTAATTATTTGGCTGACACGATAGTTGATCTGCAAGTGGTTCAGGTCATATTAATTCACATAAATAATTGATGTATCACTATTGTCGATATGATATTAAAATGCATATCCACTCAATGCAACTGTACTTTAGAAAATCAGTATACCAATGAAATAACAAAACACATTTTCCTGCTATTGTACTTCAATTACATATGTATTGCAAACCGATGATTATCAGTCAGATTTGAACAGAGCAATGGAAAGGCTATTATATAATTTCAAAATGATTATTATACACACAAAGTGTCTTCTTATTTGCCTGGATGTTTGAGTAATACAGCAATATCGTCATTACTGCCAAAATAATAAAGACAATTTCATTGTTCTATAAGTGTATTTAGCAGAACAAAGCATCATTTTGAAAACATGGCCATTGGGAGGGAGTGGGCGGCACACATTGGATATCGCACGAAAGCTGTCTCGACAGTTTAACTAGTTAATTATTATATCATTTACATGGTGTATATCAGCTGAGCGAAAATTGACGTTTTTGGTTTTTTTTTCGTCTAGGTTTACGAGCAGTATTGACATTTAAACGACGGCTCTGCTTTGTCGTCCGATGGTAGCTGGTCAGTCTCACTAACTCGACTTTCACTTGAAACTCGTTTCGAATTTCCAGTAGCGTTAATGGGAAGCTTCGAGGAGGCACTCAATCCACTATCATCACCACTCTGTTGCTCCATCCCTTTCTCATTTGCTCTTGAAAATCATTATGTGGTCTGCTAGTGTCAAATATGCTTGGTAGTGAAAACAAACGTGAATCGGGCATCGTTTCTGTAGAATTCATTTGGTTGGCCATTGTGCTGCTTAAAGGGTTAAAAATTGCCTGGAAAAGCGTTGGCGCCGTTATTGCGGGTACTAAACAATAAACAAATGTTTGAAATATCAACAAATCTCAAGTCTTTTAATTTTAAAATGCGAACAAACCTCTGATCAAATTAGGCAATACAATGAGGGTTGGTGCTTGTGAACTTTGAGAAAGCACGTCAGAAATTCGGGAAGAGATCATTGAAATGAGAGCGGTGAGTAAGTCTTCAGAAACATTTAAGTCACCAGATTGAATCCCCACTGACTGTGGAATTGAATTTTCATCGCCTGAATTATCACTCTGCATAGTACCTGACAGAACTGTAAAATGAATTTCAAACACACTTTCGAATGACTTTAAATACTAATAATTCATGAGAAATTATCGTGTTGTTTCTGATTGGATTTAAGGTGAGGTAATTGATCCAATCACATAAGAGTAAGTGACCTGTAATTAGAAATTTCGACCAAAAAAGGAAGGTATTAATTCATGGGCCCTGTCATTGTTGAGCATTATATAATTAAGCTTTAATAGAGCCAAATTTGTTATCCTCTATTTTGGGAGGAATTTTAAACTGAAAGAAGTGAATTTTAGTGATGAAGTATTAATTTCAAATCTTGCGCTGCTCATATCAGCTTGGAAAATTTTATTCAAATGTCTGGCTTTATGGCACTTATCATTAGCCCCTTAGTTGATTTCAGGCTTCACAGAGAAGAGGAACATTAAAGTGAGATAAAGTGGATAGAGGTAACAGAAGAGTGATTCAAAGATGGTAAAGAGACAGACAAACAGACACAAAGGCAGAAAAAGGTAAGTTTAATACAGTGGACATGGTCGAAATGACATACTGTTGGGTCATGGGAATTTGAAGTCAGAAGTCAACTGCCGGTTTATAGGCTTTTTTGTCGCATGAGAATACNTTGCCCAGGGTGCACCTCGTGATGGTAAGTCTATCTCACCCCTCAACTCGGAAAATAATAATTTAATTATTAATAAATATTTACAATAAAAAAAATGATTTTCGTTATAAGTAGCTTTCATTCATTTTTTACACAAAATGTTCAGAAATTGGACCAAGTCTTATAAATGAGTAAAAATAAATTATGAACTATTTGGCCTGGCAACATATTTTTCACGCTTTAGTGGGCACTATTAACACCCCTCCTCTTCACTCCTATGTACATATGCCAATACATTTAAAAGTATCAGAGATTTAATTAGTTTCCAAAGTTATCATAAAATGAATAGTGTTATTATTCGTTTCTTAAAAGATCTCTTCTCATGTGTATCAGTGAGCTTAGACACGCTAATTAACATCATTGCAAATACTTGGCACTAAATGTAAAGCAATTCGATTCCACCTAGTTACAAAGGTGGATTTGGCTGACTCTGGAAAGAGTTGGATGTGGTTTCTGAAGTCGGAAAACACGAATTGACTGCATTGGTCAAATACATTTGGCAAGTAGAATAAGATAATGACTATGATGAAAATTGTAAAATAATAAAGGGTCTTGCTTAAAAACCGTTGGTAGCAAATTTATCTACGTATGACCGTTATTGTAAATTTAAATACTAAGATCATCACCACTTAGACAAATAGGACTGTCACTGTTAACCTTTTGAATCAGTTAGTCCTCCTACCTCTTGAGATAGTTAGATCAATACCAAAGCATCTTAGTTGACATTAAATTAGGAAGGTGAGGTAATAGTGACGAACAATCAATTTAATATGATGAAATTCTTATTGTGTTTTTCTTAAGTACTTTAATTCAATTATTCTTCTCGCATTGCCATTGAAAGATTGCATTTGACAAAGATGGTAACCTTGATTTGAACTAAAAGTGACAAGGAAATTTGTTTTAATATAGAGATGACATCTGACAATTGTATCGGCATCTGTTACGTCAGACCAAACACATCGATTACTTTCATTACGTACTATTTACAGAATATTCGCTTGTGTGTGTTTTCTTTTGGGTAACTTTAGAACTTCACCTCAGATTAGCCATACTTTACAGAAAATCTCACAATTCTCCTATTTGAGTCTTACTTAGGGATTTATCTATGCAATTATCTTTACTTTTAGTTTGAATTGAATGCATGAAGAAGTTTGGGTTCTCTTAAACAATCAATAAACAGCAAGTGGCATAGGGTCAGCTTAACCAAAACAGCAAGGTCACCAAACACAACCCAAATAAGCATATTCCTCGACATA